ATATATATATATACTAAGCTTACGAATCAAGTCTTAACATTACGCAATACTATTGGCAAATATGCACCTAATAATAAGTCAACCTGAATTTATTTTCATTATATTTTTTTCCTTCTTCTTTGAGCTCTACATCTCGTCATTCACCCTGTTTATTCATACTTTATTCTACTTTCATTTCTTACATTCAGGTGACCAATGCATGTTTGCTTGCCTAATCTGTGATGCTCGGCTTACTGACTTTGACTGCTTGCTGGGTCATCTGGTCCTGGTTCATGGCCAGACATCGGCTCCTTGCGCGACACCTCACTGTCCTCTTTGCGGCCGTGCCTGTCCTGCCGGACTGGCTGCTCTACGACAGCACGTTACTGTTACCCATCTCACCAATGTCGGACAGATCGGTAGAGGCCAGGTCAGTTTATTAAATATAGTAAAAAGTCGATTTAATAAATGAGAAAGGAGAAATATTTATAATTATAATATGCTTGCATATACACGTATCCTTAAGATGTGATAAGCTTACTGACCATTGTTTGGTCTTTAGGGTTCTCAATAGATGCATATCAAGTTCATAAACAAACTCTTTTTCATATAGAGTAAAATCAGGCAGACCGAAGTGGTCGCAGCATCTGAAGACCAGCATATCGAACTAATTTAATTAGAGGGCAGGACGGAATCTGCACTCAAAATTCAAAGACAGTTAAATAAAAAGCTCCCTATTCCATTTATTTATTAAAAGTACAGTCAAAAGGCGACAGGCAAACTGCGGTCTTAGAAGAGTATCAGTTGCCAAACCACTTCTTCAACAACAAGAAAAGTGTAAACGTTTAGCACGGACCAAAAAATTACTCTATTTTTATTTGGAAAACTGGAAAATGTGTAAAAAATTTAAAATTTAAGATTGCATTCGGAGGGCTTATGTGAGGAGACAACTGCACAACAGTGCATAATGCAACAGTCCATAAAACACGCAGTTGAGTGAAATGGGGGAGATATTCCACGGTGGTGATGTTCCGCCTATTCTAGAGCTGATGACCACCACTTTTGCAGAGGCCAACTTAAGATTGTCTGGAAGGGAATTATTTTCTAGCTGTGCCAGACCTATTTAAAGTCAAACGAAGAGCAAGGAATGCCGGACTTCAAGCTTTACTTCTCCACACTAATTATTCTTTGAAAAAAGAAAAGGTTAAACATGGTGTAACACCACAAGATACTCTCTGGAATTCTCTATAATACTGATAGAATAATATGGATTCTCAAATCATGCCAAATCTTCCAGAATTTATGCCAGGTAGTGCAAGCGGTTATTAAGAAAAACCTCTTCATACCAAGTATTGGGACTTTTTCTGTCAGTAAATACAAACAAAACTCTTGTTGACTAACCTCAGTTGACATATATATTAGTAAAAATTACGTTATCTTGTTGGAAACTTATCAAATGAATCAAGATTTGTATTATTGGGTTGACATCGTTGTCGCAACTTGTTCTTGTTGTTGTCAGGGTGGCTAGAAGAACGCACCTAGTCCGAAGTCGTCTGTCATAGTACTTATCATAATTCCCAACATCAGATTGTAGCCTTGGTACTTTCTCAAATGTTTCGCCGGCATCGTAGTCCGCATTATCAGTGAGTGTTGCCATTCTCCGCATCAAGCTACGAGCTCGTCAAAGAGACAAGCTATCATACTGGGGGCCACACAATCTTGGTCTTCATATCAAGATTTGTATTATTAAAAAACTGATTAAATAAGCACAATTCTTGATGGTGGCCTCCGACTTTTGCACCTTTTATTTTTCATTGGTAACTCAACTATAAACCTTATAGAAGTTGTTTGACCTTGTTTTCGCAACTTGGCAATATTGGTAGAAAGACTTAGAGGAACACACCTAGTCCGGAGTCCATTCTATGCATCATCATTTCCAGAGTAGGACCATGGACGTGGTACATTTCCAGACGTTTCGCCAGGATCGTAGTCAGCATCGTCAGTGAGTCTCGCCAGTCGTAGCAACATATTAAAACTCGTCAAAGAGACAAGTGAAGCCCATCTCTTGACCAAACATGTGCTAGACAGTTGTGGTATCTCCCCTTTTGACCTGGGTTATTCACATTTTCTATATCGTCCTATCATTCTTTCCCTGTCAAAATTTTTACCATGCTTATTTTTAATGTAGTGTGGTGTGCTTCTTCGAGCTGAATTCATAAAAACCCTTAACACTCCACTCTGGCGTTATCACCCACTTCACCCTTGTGCTGGAAATTTTGATCAGAGTCTGTCATATTGTTACGTATCCCTGCCTATGGTCCTATCAGAGTCTCCCTTTTACCCCGTAGAATCCGTCTGCTATGTCCCTGGTACATGTAATTGGTGCATCCCCGGCACCTGGGTGATTGATTAGAGGCTAAAGCCTCAGAGTAAGTCTAATGGTCATGTCTTTGCTAGATGGACCACGTCTTTTGTATAACCTACTGTCAGCCAACTAGCTCCAATCGCCGCCTCGTCTATCGAGTCTCTATCCCTAATACCAAGTCTATGACTTGCCATGCCCTAATCGCTTGTATGCCAACCTACAAATGTTGTGGTACTGCTGGCTTTGATTAGGTTCAATGTTGAGCCACAATGTTTGCGGGTTGGCACACCAGCAACTAGGGCATGGCAAGTTATAGACTTGGTATTAGGGATAAAGACAGGATAGACGCGGCGGCGATCAGAGCTAGTTGGCTGACAGTAGGTTTTACAGGAGACGTGGTCCATGTATCAAAGGCATGACCATGAGACTTGCTCTAAGGCTTTAGCCTCTAATAAATCACCTAGGTGCAAGGGATGGACGAATTACGCCACCAATAGCACAGAGGGGGGTCGGCAGTGGTCGAGTCAAATACATGTACCATGGGGATGGCAGACGGATTCGATGGAGCAAAATGGAGATTTTGATACGACCTAGGGAAGGACTACGTAACAATATGGCAGACTCTGGTCAACATTCCCAGCACAAGGGTGAAGGGGTGATAACGACAGTGTGGAGTGTGAAGGGTTTTCATGAATGCTGCTCGAAGGAGCACACTACATTACATTAAAAATAAGCACGGTGAAAATTTTGACAGGAAAGGCATGCTAGGACTATATTATAAATGTGAATAGCCCATGGCAAAAGGGGAGATACCACAACTGTTTAGCACACGCTTGGTCAAAGT